TCCTCATCTCTCTTTTTGTATAGTTTTGGACTAACCTGTATCTGTTTTTTGTTTATTTATGTTTAAGTAAACATTTAAACTTTGATCATTTGGTCCCGTGGATTTTTTGGATGAAAATTACTTAAGAGAGGAGTTCTGGGAGCGTCAAGCTACGGCTTCATTCAGTTGATACCTACAATGTGTTTGGTAGATTATTTCTTTGTTGTAACAATGCTTCTTGGCAATAAATCTTATACAGCTGGAAAGCCTGTTTATTTCCCTTTTAAATGGGTATGTGGGTATATGCTGAGTATGTGGGTTGCGCCCATAAAAAAAAACTTGCCAAATCTTCTCTGAATGCCCAACATCTTATTGTTTGGTGTCGTTCAGTGGACACACATGAGGGGCTGGTGTACTAACAGATAAAGGCCCAAAAGGACAAAAGACAAAAACATTTTCCTGAGGGATAAATTGAATGCTGTTCTGCTCGGCAACCTAACAAATTCAATTAAACCTAACAAGGTAAATACCTAACAAGGTAAATTAACTATAGGGCATAAAATGGCAGAAATACCACAGAGCAAAGCCCTTGCAGTGTTAGAAGAACTGTCCCTGGTGCTGAAACGGTTCTCTGTTACATTCAACGCTCAAACCTTTGTGTGTCGGAGGCTACAGAGGAATTTATACATGAATAGAGCATCATCTGTAATCCACCTACACCTTTTTTAATTATTTCTCCACACCTTTAATAAAATGCGTCTGTCTGAATAAGGCCAGAAAAAAACAACTTCAAAGTCTCACATTTTATGTGCACTTTCTTTCTTTCTTTCTTTCTTTCTTTCTGTCTTATTTAGTCTCTTATTTGTACTGAGGTAATAATGTCTACAGTATATTTGGTCTCACTGTTTCTGTATTTCTTTCGGTCTAATGATTCTGTTTCAATCGAGCCAGGAAAGGCAAATTAGCCAAGGCTATGAACCTGTATGCATGGGATCTACTTTGTATTTAATATATGAAGAAATGTTCATTCCATGTGTCCCTGTTAAATAAACAAATAAAATAAGTAATTACAATGATTTGGATATATTCTGTTTTTTGTAATATTCTCACCAAAAGCCTAAAGAATTACATAACCTCACATTCAAAGCCTGATACACCTGTACCATAGAGCTCCATTGTTGTCCATTAAAAACACATCAGTTAGTCACACTGTTGCACTTGGTGACATGTTGCCTGATTACGGAGAAACTGTAGCTTGTTTTGACTCTATCACACGAACACATCTCTGCAGAAAATGCTCTCTGACGCATTATGTCCTTCTGTCTGTGAAACGTTACGCAAGTTTGTGAGATCTTGTGTCTGTGAAATCTTACTACAAACACAAGTTTGTGGCCAAACAGTCTAGTGTGCATTTGGTGGGTCCTAATGAATGAAGAATCTGTTGGACACTCCTTGAGTCTGTGGCCTCCCATGTTATAAAGTGAGGATATGAAAATGTGTGTCGCGAGCTTAAGGATGGCAAGAAAACTAAACTTGAGCTGGACATGTGAAAGAAACAAACCCTGAATTGTACAACTATGTGGCAGCAACTGACAGTCAGCAGCTTTTTTTTTTTTTTGAAGCTGCTGAGTGCTTGATTGCAGGCAGGCAATTTTGAATGTAGATCTAAGGCAAGGGTGAAGAGAGGGAAGAAGACAGAGGGCAAGGTGGAGGTGAAAACCGAGCTCCCTTTACACTCGAATGTCTGAAATTAAATGAAAGAAATCCACAGGCAGAAAGATGTAACACGAGAGGGACTGTGACACGTTTTGTTGGCAATGAAAACAAAGTATTTGACTCCTCCTGGTTTCTTAAAGGTTGCAGCTTTTATATCACAACTACTGTGAATAACCTGAAACATGCTGCCCAGCTCCGCCCTCTGATCCAAATATGGTTCAGGTCTGCCTCAAATTAAAAAAAAAATAAGATGGTAACAACCAAATGCTAAACACAGGGCTTCAACACAGTAGTCCAAAACAAAGTGAGTTAGTCATGGACGCTATTTCTACTTTTTCTATACAGTCTATACTGTACCTTTTATGTCCGTATAAGAGGAATTACATTAGTCCTGTTTGCATTGCAGCCATCTGGTGGTGTGTACATCCCAGCTGTGTAATACACAGGTCCATACAGGAGACAATAAGACCACTGAGATAAAATACAGACATTTCAAAGATACTATAAACATATAACAATCAACCACAATATAATTTAGATATACAACATCTGATGAAATTCATATTTTTCATTCTTCTTGATAGCAGCCAAAGCCACGAGTGCTTCAAACCTTGTCATGTTGCTTCAACAGACTTTTGACAAACAAACAAGGCTTTGGAGTGTCATTGTTTCCTGTTTTCCCCTCGCGGTGGTCCGCAGCAGCCTTCAGTGCCCAGAGGCTTGTTGTGGGAGGGATATCTGTCACAACATGGCAGCACATTATAGATTTGTTATTGATCCGCTGTATTGATTTATTTCCCTGTGGAGTGGAGGTGAAAGGTGAGCTGACAGGCTCCCCATGGGGCTGCTGCTTATTGCCCCCCCCATGCAACACATACTGATCCAAGCAGTTAGTACCAAAGAGTGTCTAAAACCACCACGTCAACACAAACACAACATAAATGCTGTACTTTTAACTGCTGGTGCTGTAATATTCCCAATTGAGGCACACTTTCTAAAAAAGTGACGTCACCGCCTCTATAGTGAGTGTGTTTTTGTGTTTTTGTGTTTGAGGGTTCGAGTGTTTGTGTTTTTACTTAGTGATGAGGACTGAATGAGCGTGTGCCGTGCTTTGTTCTCACAATCCCTTATGGGTGACCCGGGTCACCTTAGGGTGGTCTCTGCTGTTGTGCAGCAGCCGGTGGGCTTTTCCATTTCCACGGTCTTTCAGAGAGCCTCCTGCTGCACCATTAAACGCATGAATGGAGGGAGTCATTTGGTTTTTATTTGGCTAAACCTCACACGCACACACGCACATGCACACACACACACACACACACACACAGGAAAAAAATTCACATACACATGCAAAATATGAAGACATTCAGCTTCACTTGCAAACAGGAAGTCAGAAAAGCTGCTGGCTTCAGGTCATTCACTCAGCTGTGAGTGTGCAAGTGTGTGTGTGCGTATTTGTGTGCCTGTGTGTGTGCTCATATCTGTGTGTGTGAGTGTGTGTGTGTGTGTGTTTGTGTGGCATTACAGGAAGCTGCATGACTCAACAGTAATGAGAGCAGGTTTGTGGTCCACTACAGCAGCTTGAGAGGGGTTATTTACCTATTAATGAGTGTGAGTGAACGACTCAAACCGGCCACCGTATGTTTTTTCTTATTCCCACTTTAACAGGTGGACATGATTCACCTCAGCAAAGAGACAATACAAGAAGCGTTATTCTATCTGTAACCAATATGATACACCCTGAAGAGACCAGGTAGAGGGAGAAAAACACCTGGTGTCTAAATGTCAACTACTAATCTGTGATTATTTAAAAGAAGACAGAAATGAAGCACTGTATTGTTTCCTCTGAGACGGCAGCTTGGTGATCAAAATGATGTCTAAAAGTTTTATACACTGATTTATGGTGGTTTGTTAGATATATGATGCTCGAAGTTATTTTTACGAATCAAACCACATTACTTAAAAAAATAAAGCTGGGTAAGCGATGAAACAGCACTAAAATGCTCTGATCACAAGGTATTTGTGCAGCAGAGATCCTTCCATATCCTGCTTTCTCCTGCTCCTCTAGGTTTTGTTTGCTTGTTGGATTGGATTTTTTCACTTCACCAGACTATATAAATGAACAGTTTGAACGGTGAAATAAAAAACACCAAGAAGATGTCGGACCCAAATGGTGTGATTGTGATGAATAAAACCTTTTTGAGGCATTCGAGCGAGTGTGTGTGTGTGCATTTCCGCTTCCTCAGTCTGCTGTGGCACTGCCCTGCACATAAGTGATGTGCGTAAACTTCCTTTTTTATATATTGTTTATTTGTCGTAGTTTATCATTTTCGTCTCACAAATTGGTTCTTTTTATTTCATGTCTGATTGTGGCACCATCAAATGAGCCCTTCATTTCTCACTTTTTACAATCATTTGACCAAAAACATCTCATGATCTTACTTCTGTTCTTCTCTTTTAAGTTTCAAGATGTGAGAGTGTGCAGATTTTACTGCAAAATGTATTAAAGAAAATGCATTAGATAATGTGGTTCTTTTAAATATTTGCAGTTGTGTGTGTCTTGGAGGATTTTTTTTATCTGAGGTATAACAGAATGCCTAACATGTGCGTTGCTGTGTGTTTGTGTGACGTGCGTGAGAGTGTGCGTGTGGAGAGTGACAGTGGGCGGAGTTATCTCCCTTTGCTCTTGGGTGCAAGTATCGTCCAAAGCTCTGATTGGTTCCTTTATCACTTGTTTAGGCTCCCTATCTGGTTGGTCATGTGTGATTAATTCGTTATTGGAAATCGCGTCACCTTGACCGAAAAGGTGATCTCGTGTGTGTGTACGTGCGTGCGTTCATTGGGGGGTTACTGGAGGTAGGAGGTCACTGGGGTTCGATCCTCTGCATATTGTGAAGACGTGAGCAGGAAGAGGACACAACGCTTTCTTTCTCCAGGAGGATTTTAACTGTCACACAGGGAGAGCTCGTGCACGGGATGTTCAGCATGCAAGCATCTCATTTAATCTGATATTTTGTGCAGTTGTTGCAGGAGGCTGTGTGGACACCTCGGACCATGGCAGAAGGTATGAAAAGCTCCTCTGCAGACGCTTTGAGAGAGAGAGAGAGAGAGAGAGAAGATTGCATATAAAAGAGGAAGGACTGGCTTTTCGTCCTCTTGCATTGTCTTCTCTCTACTCTCTGAGGGAAGCTGGGTGTTATTTATTCAGAAACATGTCCTGTGGATATCTGGGGGAAGGTGTGTTTTTGTTGATGTGGAGGTAGGATGGAGGTGTGAGGGACACTTAAAAGCAGCGGAGAGCGGAGGGGATGGGCTCTGCTTCGAGCCAGAGCTTCACAGGTAGACAACAAACAAGCGACGAGGAAGGAAAACAACTTTTGTGCTGTTTTAACTTGTTAAAGGTTTCTTAAAAACCCCTATCAAAAAGTTATTACCTTTTTTCTTTTCTTTTTTTGACAAAGGGAATTTTGAGAAAAGAATCAAGAAAATTGTGGTTAAACTGACAAAATTTACGAGTTCAATGTATATATCATATTTGATGCCAAACAATGAGCAGAATGCTTAGTTGGGATTTTCAATTTCATTGCTTTTTGGGGTTCTTGGTCCTTTACGCAGCGCAACTGATTGATCCAGCAGTGACCATCACTATCTCTCTGTGTCTGTGTGTGTTGTCCAGGAGGATGGGTGCAGGGAGAGGAGGAGGAGGAGGGGGAGGAGGAGGTTGTGGCCCGGGGCAGCGGGGTCTGTAAGTGGTTCAACGTGCGGATGGGCTTCGGCTTCCTCTCCATGAGCAGCAGGGACGGAGCTCCGCTGGAGGAGCCGCTCGACGTGTTCGTGCACCAGGTGAGACACTGCTGCTGCTGCTGCTGCCAGGTTCGATTTAATGAGGACGCCCAAGGAAATGTAACAAACGTGTGTACTGTTTGATAGACCTATTCCTGCACATCGTTGGGCTTATCTGAGTTTAAACAACTGGGTGCCATTACCGTGAAGACTATCTGATCTGTGCGTCTGAACTCTTCTCAAAGTAAAAAAAAAAAAGTGTCATACAATGGATCACTATATTATGCACAACTTGTAACATGTAAATATGAACAAATAGGCCTTTTGTATAGTGTTGACTCTGATTGTGAAAAAGTTTCTTCTTAAAAACAAACGTTCAAAACTTTTGCAAATCAGAATCAGTATCAGAAATACTTTATTAATCACTGAGGGAAATTCGATAATAGCGAAATATTACAGATTATGCTGTCTGCAGTCTTTCTTGCTTAATTCTTACTTTAGTCCTAAAATATTCTGACCTCCTCTTGATAAAAAGTTAATAAAGTAGATGTACTTACAAGTGTTGCTGGAGCCTTTTGACCTCTTCTAGCGTTTCCTCTCCATGCACCCATGGTACCTGGTGAAGTTTGAAAACCCAACATAACCTTCTGAAAAGTGCACATAAAATACTCTTAGATGACCACAGGCTGAATGCTTTATGTGTATTCAAATGACGGCTGTTCATGCACTACTTTAACCTGCATAAATAAGATCAGGTATGTTTACACGTAAACATACCTTTCTTTGCATGCCACATTCTGTCAAGAAAAACTTAAAAACATATTTAATGGGTGGTTAGCGCTCTTACTTTTCTATTTTAAGAGGTTAGAGGCTAATGCAGAGGAAACGAGACTCACTCCTTTAACCCCCCCCATCCAGCTCTGCTTCCTGTTATAAAGTCATTAAAGCTTTATGGAGCCCACCCAACCCTCAGTTTCTGTCCCACCTCCCATGTGAAGTGTTTCGGGAGAAGAACCTCTCAGGTTACTGGTTGCAGTGTCGCTGTAAATCATCAGATGAAAGAGGAGGGATGAGGGCGCTGTGCACACGAGTTTCGGGACTTTGTTGAATCAGATGGGAAGCTTATCTGAAGGCAAAGTGTTTATAACTGCTTGACCTGCCATCACAGCCTCCTGCAAATTGTTGATGCAGATTTTACCTGCTGCACGATATCTCTCAAAGATGTCTGTGTTAATGCCTTTCTAATTATGCTCACTGATTCATTTTAGTTCTCATGGTGTTGCATTCATTGACATTCATGGTTGACAGAAGTAGATCTCTACGTGGAATTTAAAAAGGTCACTGAAGACAGGTTTAACCCCGCCTCATTTTAAAACTAGCAGTGCATATAAGGGGGGTTTAAAGAGGTTTCACAATCAGCGAAATGATGTCAAAACGCATCGTTAAAAGTTAGATATTTTCTAATATATCCAATGAGTGACGAGTGTGCCGATGAGACCGCAAATTAGGAGCACTTCACTCAATGTGGTGAAGGAGGTTAAAGCACGGAACAAGGCATAGTGCCCGGTTCTTGTTGCACAAAATTGATCTGATCGGATTGGAGATACCAGATTGGATCAAATCTTTAAAATCGGTTGTTCAAAGTAATTTTGTCTCCATACACGGGGCGTGACAAAACCGCTAGGTCCATCCACGCCCCGGAAATATGTCTCTCTCATACATTTTGCTTTGATCTGAGAACAGCTTCAGGCACTTATATAATCTGAAGTAACAAGAAAACGTTCATTAAAGGGATACTTCACTCATTTGCGTTGAGCTTTGTATCATTAGAAACCTGGTAGTATTTTTGAATGGTCGTGCATCCCGTCCTCATTTTCCCCTGAGATGGGAAATCTTTGTATTTCTAAGTCTGAAAAGGAGCTTCCAGTGATGCAAAATGATGATTTTTGCATCACTGGAAGCTGTTGCGGTTAGCGGGGTGAAACTACAATGCTAGTTCCTCATATTTTTGACCACTGAAGCGACAGACCAATCACAGATCAGTGGGTGGGAACTCACTCCCAGAGTCGGAACTTAACGTCCGTCATATTGCTTGGAAGCTATGCTAACAGGCTCTATGGAGAAAGCTGATAATGGCTCATGCCGACAGGCCGGTCTTGTGTCGCGGCGGCCCCGGCGGCTAGCCAAAAAGTCTATCAATAGCTGTGTTTCCTTTGGTGGGTAGCATCCTTTGAAGGACCAAGCCTTCGTAGTCATGGAGGAGACTCAGAGGAAGAACGCTGTCTTTGTCCTCATTGATTGTGATGCCATGCTTTCACTCTTGGTTGTTGTTAGGACGGGGTGTTAGTTTGAAATGGAAGGAAATGCCTTGCTAGCGGCTCACTTCCTTCAAATACTAACATAGCTAGCATTTAATTTGTAAGTCACTGTTGAAAACCAAGCGGCAATCTCAGGTGTTAAAACAAACAAAGCCAATGAGGAAGTGGAAAAACTGCAGTTCCTCGAGATTCCGCTTGAGACTGGCTCCAGGATCCCAAGAAGTCACATACACATCCCATAATGAAATGTCCTGTTCAACAGCAGAAATTCACATGTTTACAACCTGGTACAAAAAAACGATTTTGCTTTTTTTAGTTAATGTCTTTATCGGCTCACACTGTTCAGAAACTGATTTTTCTTTATAATTCACCCGATTTGTGAAGACTTAAGACCCGCCTCAGCTCCAGCTCTTTGTCTGTTGTTATTGTTGACCCAAAGTCAGCATTTCCAATATGGCAACCGCCATGGATGGGCTTCCAAAAAACAGCCCTTCAGGAACCAATGCGTGATGTCACTCAGGCTTCTACCATTCATATTTACAGTCACACACAAGGGCAGCTGTGGCAGAAAACTGCTTCTGTTTCTGCATTGTAGTTTTTTTTACTAAAGTAAATTTTCACCAGGAGCATGATGGGCAAAAATCTCAGTAAAAATCTATTTGTGTGTAAATATTGACCTTAGAAGATACTCATTCTTTCCAAAATCTTGTATCTGTGATAAAATGTGTCAGATTTTCAATTGAAAAATTGGTAAGTGAGCTGTTCAGAAAAGTTGTATTATATATTTTCTTGAAGTGTATAAAGTTGTTTAAAAAGAGAAGGTTGTTTGCTGAGGTGTGACTGTTGGTTATTTCACTCTTCCTTATATTACCATCTCCATTGGAAAGCCAATTAGTCAAGGGATCAATATTGTAGATTTCCTCTGTTGGGATTCATATATTCTTACCACCTCTTATTTCTGGTAGTTAGGAATCGACTCCTTGTGCTATTTCACCATCCTCCTTTGCTAAAAAGAGGGCTTGTTGTTTTAGAGAGCGTGTGTTGACTGCATGTAGATGGTGAGGAGGAAGCAGAAGACGGGTTTGGGTGAGGATGGTTTGATTTGGTTGGAGACATGAGGGGGAGGGGTGTTTAAGAGCGTTGATGTTTCTTAGGGTTGTCCACAGGATTGGATTTTGATGGTTAAACTAAAGATTCTCTAATGTTTATTTAAATGTGAAACTCATGCAGATAATCTACTGTGAGTAGTTTGTTTTCTCAGTAAACTGCACGTTTGTTTTATACTTCAGAAAATCAGAATAGGCTGATTTCAAACGTTGAGTGTAATCGGCTTCATTCCCTTAACAACTGTTCTTGGCAAATTTCAATTTTTGGGTCGATTTTGCCTTTATTGGATAGAACAGATTCAAACCCCAGCCTTCATGGGGCACGCGTCGTAGCTGCTATAGGCCGGTGCACCTACGGTATATACCAATTTTTTAGTTGATATGACAAATATCTTTAGCAAGCACTTGTTTCTGCCTCCATATGGAGCAAGTCATTCATTTTGACCAATTTGTGTCAACCAAATAAATGCCAGCACCAATTTTCTCTATTTTAGTTCTATTTTTGGTTTCCAAAAAATCCTGAGGGAATTATCTGGCTGCTAAATGCCTCATTTACCAGCTTTGTTCTCCCACTGTGTCTGTCTGCTGTTTGTTGCCGAGCTAGCGATGTAAAGTCGTTTTTCAATTGTAAGGTGAAGTTTATTCCCTGAGAAAATGTTCAGACCAAGCCCTTTAAATTCTTACATCAGTCAGCTGGCTAGCACTTTCCTGAGCATGTCTCACTGGACCTGGTAAACCCCTTTCACCTCACTCTCTGTCATCCGCAGAGCAAACTGCACATGGAGGGCTTCCGCAGCCTCCGAGAGGGCGAGCCCGTCGTGTTCACCTTCAAGAAATCATCCAAAGGTCTCGAGTCTTTGCTGGTCACTGGACCGAATGGAGCTCCATGTCTGGGCAGCGAGAGGCGACCGAAGAGCTCTCAGAAGAGACGCTCCAAGAGTGACAGGTAAGTGCAGTTTACTACCGACTTTCAGAGCAGATATTCAGCCCTACACAATGCTCCTTTCACACCTCCTTCATCCCTCAGCTCCCCCCTCCCCTCTTTTCTCCACACTTCCCCTGCTGCTCCCGCTCTGTTTTACTGTGAGAGCAGCAGACGACGCTAATGAACTATATCTAAAAACAAGATTCTGCCATCAATTTCACGTTACAATATACATCTCAAAGTTGATTCAGCCTATTTAGAACAAAGAAAATCTTCTCTACAGTTTGGAAAGTCTTTGCTTCTCCTTCAGTTCTGACACTGTCATACCAATAGACACATCGTCCCTGTGTGCAGTGGGAATTCTGGAGTCTGTTGGGCTCTAGGCCAAAAATTCACAGGGGGGGGCTCCAACCAGCATTCATCACTGTTGTGTTATAAATAATCTGGGTTAAAAATTGCAAAATGTAAGCAGAAGTTAGCCGAGGTTTTCAACTGTCAATGAGAACTTTAAACATTTTGAGCCACTGCTATGGTTTAAAGTTTGTCGGCCCTCGGGGCCCCTTACTGACCAGCGCCTGTCTCTCTTCCCCAACGTGGTTTCAGGGAAAATGGGTGGAGGGGGACAGGTTCACTCGTAAAAAAAACATGTTTGAAACATGTTTGCACTTCTGGGCAAAACATAAATGAGCTAAAGGAAGCGCTGTCCGGTCCATGTGAACACAGAGCTGAGAACAACAAATCCAGATGGAGTTTGACTTCAAGTGGCAATCTTAATGTTACTCTCTTTTCACAATCTTTACTCTTCAGTATATTGACATTGGACATATTATATTTTTGTCGTTATTATTATCCTCATTAGGAGGATATTTTTGCATTTTTCATTTTGTGAAATCTTCTTATCCTATGTTGGACAAAAGCTCTTTTTTTCACTTTCTCTAAGAAAAGGTGCTCTTCTGACTGAAGGTTGTCTTTTAGTGCAGCAGATGGCCGAGCTGATCAATAGATTATTTAATCTCTTCAGGTTTTCACAACCCCCCACGCTCCTTTTTTTGTGGGCTTCTGTGTCGAGCACCGTGTAGCTTCATCTCAATTTTTTGATCATCTCAACACAAATGAAAAGGCTGAAAATGAGGAAACCAATAGTACTGACTGTGCTCTGTTTTCCCTCTAAGCTTGTTTAGAGGGTTTAAAGTGAGGTTTTTATTTGAAATGATCTTATAAATATGAGTTTACTTACTTATCATAGCCGTCAGAGCACAAATTAATCCCACACCGACCGTTTTTTTTTTATGCGTTTTGATTGCATGCTAACTTTTTAACCTTCTTTTTTCTTCAGGAGCGTTTGAGTTGAGAGGAAAAGACTTCGATTTGCAGAATTGTGGGCCATTGATGTCTGACAAACATATTTATGTGAAAGGATTTGATTAGGTCGATCTCCATTAATCATGCAGGGCAGTGATAAAAATAATCGAAAGACTTCCTGTCCTTAAGTACCCACTAAAAGTTTGATTGCATTCACATGTTCCTCAAACATAAAACGTCGTATTCAGAGGGAAAAAAAGGATCCTACACGTTTAACTGATAACAGATGTAGGTGCCTGAAGGAGGTCAGAGGTCGCCATCGCCATAGCAACAATGGGATGTGGTGGGAGGAAGGGCGGCAAGGGAGCAGGGGGGTCAGCGTTCAGAGGTCACAGCAGTATTGAAACAAAGGAGCTCCCTCTGCCGCGCTCGTGTCCACGCTGATCAATACTCAGGCCTGGGGGGGGGAGAGAGAGAGTACAGAAGTGGTGGTTAGCCGTGAGGCCTGAATTACATCACCTATAAGCTTGAAAATATGTTTGAGATCGTTCACTTTTTACAATTTTCAGCAAAGTCAAAACAACTAAAACAACAATGACTGTATTGTATTATGTAACGTATGATATATCTTCTTCTTTGTCATAGAGCTCCATTGTCTCACTGTAGCGCTGGCTGACATCTTCTCTATTTACAATGAACACAACACACTGTGGGCAATGATAACTCATAACTACTGCCCCAAATAGAGCACCAAGTGTGGATTAATCCACGGCTGAAAATACATCACTACCCAGACACTGTAAATAAACATGGATGAAGCCTGAGTGGCGTCAACCATTTGCTACCGAAGGGGGTCGCCTTAGTGGAAATGCTGTCTCGACCTAACTTTCAGTCAATGTAACACCAGGCTTAGACCTTGAACTGAGGCTGGTTTTAAGCCTCTGGACAAACAGCTACAACACGCCCGCCTGTCAGTCAGATCAGCTTCAGCCCTTATTATGCATAAAGGTCTTTGCACACTGACTTAGTCTGTTTTTACGTTCTAAATTTTCATTGCTATTATTTTTTGCAATGAATAGAAAAACAAGCTTACAGACTTATTGTGCAAGGTTTGTGTGCATTGGATCAGATTACAGATTTGAAAAACGCATCCGAAAACAAAACCAGACTCTTATTCTTCATAAAATCAAAACGGATGAGTCATTAAAGAATTAACCCCTTGTATGGTGTGTGTCGGTAAATTTGAGCTAATCATACCAATTCCAAGCCAGCCTCAAGTGGACACTTGATGAACTGCAGGTTTTTTGCACTTCCCCATTGGCTTCATTTTCCAACGCAGGAGGTTGTCGCCTGTTTCTATTCTTGTAAATTGCTTGCTAACAGGTAGATGCAGGATTTTTCAATCAGGGCGTAATTTTAAATATTTTGGTGTGATTGACTAGCAAGTTTAAGCTGCTTTAAAAAAATGTGACATGGTTGGTTTTTAGTAAGAACCAAAGGGCCGCAAACAGAGGAGGTAGTAAGTTGTGAAGTATTTGGGAGATGGACAGAAAGCGACATAGATGCTTAAAAGCTAACAGTAACGCAGGTTGTTCAGTTTTTCAAGTCACACTTCATGCTTTCCATCAAAAGATATCTTGTCTAGTTTACCTCGGTGACAAAGAATACAATCATTCTCTCGCAGTCTAAGATTTAATATAATAATTTTACAACAGTGTTTCCTCCACTGCTGCTCCACACTCGGTGTATTCACGTCTTTGCCTCCAGATGGAGAGTAAAGGAAAAAAAAAGCTTGAGCCTGCAGAAAACCAGATTGTCTGTATACATGAAATCAATGTTTTTTTTAACTGCCTGTTTAAGTGGCCAGTGTCTCTTTGTGTCACGCTAGCCTTATTTATCCCGCCCTAATTAATTCACCAACAGGATTTCACTTAGCTACTGATCATTAGCTTTCTCAGCATAGATTTACTGATAAATCCACATCTACCTCCACAATCAAACAGAAGCCATTTGTTTGGAACTGTAGCAGCTTGTTAAGGCAGGAACAGCTACTTGATCATTTAACCTGATCACCCTTTGCTTTTTTAATACCTTGATCATATTATTACACATGTATGTTCAACAGATTTGTTAACATTGCACTTAAATGAAGTTTATAACCTGCGTTGACAGTTTCACATTTCCATATCAGTCTTGTTTATTAAGATATTTGCACAGAATCCTGCAGTCACATTCAGATGTTAAACTACTGAGGAGATAACGATTCATTTAACAGCAATGTAGAGCAGCACATTTTTGAGGGCACACTCCAAAAACTCAAAATGTTACAAGTCCATTTGTCTAACTTTAGTCCCATTGAAAAGATCAAATCCTGCACACTCCTCTTGCTAGGCATCACCAATTTCTTGGAAAAAATCACGAAGTTTCAGTCGCTCTGAATCTTTTTTAATCTTTTTTCACTTATTGAAGGCCTCATTCACCCACTAGTCAAGATAAACATCCTATTTACAAGATACAAAAAGAAAAAAAAATCAGCCCTGAATTGAAAAGTGTTGAATTAATGTATTATATCTGAATCAGAACATCACATTTCAAGACAATCAAATGCAAACTTAAATGCAATGCTTGCTGTATGAGCAGATATTCTTACTTAATACAAACAATACGAGCCTATTTTTTTTTACATTTTATGTCTTCAAATAAGTGTAATGGAATGACTGGAAATTAGACCTTTAGATTTGCTAAGATTGTATTATTATTATTGTATTATTACAGTGCAGGTGGATTTTGTACCTCTGCAGACCTGGGGTTCAGTCTTTTTTTTTAATGAAAAGAACAACAAAAAGTGTTTTAGGTTTCTGTCCGAATATTCCTCACCAAATCCCTCCAGGGACAGAGATCAGTTCTGCTAAATCCCCTGACAGCTGCTCAGCACTGGGACTCTGGGTAATGTGGATGCCTGGTGACAGTAAAGCTTGAGTGTGCTGCTCTCTAGTGGTGACATTTAATCATTACACCAAACACAGACAGGGTTTTAAATCTTTTTTGTACTTTTCCAAAAATCTGCCTAAATGTTGAATACTGATATGGTTAGTATTCATCCAATCCTAATGAACAACTACTATAATATACTAAACACTGAAGCCTAATAAATGAGGTACCATTCACAAAGAACAGGTAACAAGTGTATCCCTTTCTTAGACCTGGGCCCTGATATTTAGGACACAGATACCAAAGGGTACATTAAAACAGATGTCAAAAGTTACCTATAACAGATACTGAAGGGTAACCTAGTCGTTACAGGCAACCTTGGAATACGAATGTATACATCAAAATAAAACTCCACATGGAACCTTTTAACAGAATCCAAATACCATTTAAAACCATAAAGATACAACAGAAGGGTACTTTAAAATGGACTCTATAGGGTAACTTGAAAAAGTTGCCAAACTTGATTGAAAATGCTTGAGAATCCCTAAAAACAGTTTCACAGTTTCCTTCAACCAGCTCTTATAGGTCCACATAAAAAGAAAACATTTAAGTGTACCTTGAAATATTTACTAGAGAGGGTACCTTGAAACTAAAACGATAGAGTTCAGTTGAATAGATGCTAAAAGGAGCCTTAAAAAAGATTATAAAATATGATTCAAAGATTGTGACACATGTAAATGTACTTTAAACAGACATTAAAGGGTCCCTTAAACACACACTGAAGGTTCTTCAAACTGTTTGTAAAGTCTACTTACTAGAGATACCTTAAAACTAAAGGTAAATGAGAACTTAAAGCTAGTCTCTTGAAATAGAGATTGAAGGGCAGATGCTTAACACATGTTACCTTGCACATAAGTACACTAACTTGTGTGTAGCATCATACACACAACTGTTTGAGGATATGGTTCAGGATTTACAAAATTAGCGGTTCGATAGACGCTAGATAGTCCACACATCATTGTATTTGGTCAAAATGATGTGTGGATTTGAGTATTGTACCCTCTGTATGTGTTAAGGATAATGATTGAAATTATACCTAACTGATAGAAAAGTTATTTTTTCTTCTTCTTCTGTTCATTTTAGATGCTACAACTGTGGAGAACCTGGCCACCACGCCAAAGAGTGTCAACTGCCCCCTCAGCCCAAAAAGTGCCATTGCTGTCAGAGTGTTTCCCACATGGTGGCCAACTGTCCCGTCAAAGCACAGCAGCAGCAGCAGCAGCAGCTCCGTTTGTCTTCAGGCTCTCAGGGAACAGCTTCCTCACGGGGCGACGAGGAAGAGGAGCAAAGCCAGGCCACCTTCTCTGAAAACTGAGATGTTTCCACAGGAACGCCGCTCACAGAAGAGCTTCATCAGGTCTTATTTATCGAAACAGAAAAAAACAGCCATCCCTTCTTTTAGGATGTACGCTTACGTCCGCATTGGAAGCTTTTATTTCACTTTATATTGTGTCTGTTTGCCTTGGATAAGTGTCTTGGCTTGAAAAAGAAAACAATCAGACTTACTGTAGATCTAGCCATAAAGTAGCTACAGATATCAAGTCGCTGTTGGGACTGATCTGACCGGTCCTGTGCCTCTCTAAACTTTATACACATTTCAAATACATTTGTAAAATCAACACTAACCCAATTAATACTTTTATTATAAAATCTCAAAATATTAACACCTTTTCTCTCAAAGAAAAGTGGACCTATACACTCGTTAATAGTTGATCAAAATTAGCGCATATCATTATCAGGCCATATAACATGGTGAGCAATCCAAACTTTGAATGTAAGAAAACAACATACCCTGAGTCTTTCCTTTTATCGGAAACAGTTTTCAGGTAGTGTAGTTAAAGTATAATAACAATATAAGTGCCATAACCTCCACTGACCAATGAGGTTAATACAAGCTGCTTTGAAACACCTCATTGCATTTGAAACAATAACATTTCTGTATACATGCACCATGTGAACATTACTCTACTCCAGCAGGGTGAAGTTTATGTCTTAATAACCGAGTTGCCATTTCACTAGTTGAATTTTTATGCAAAGACCAGTATTGATTGTAAGGCAGACTTTATCTGCAAAAACACATTTAATCTAAAGTGAATGTTCACACATATCAGGGATGTTTTACACAATGTTCACTCAGCTGTCGTACTTGAAAGCTGAAGGTGAAACCGAGGGAAAGGGTTGACTGTAAAGACATAATCTTTTTTATATGAACTATTTATTCAAAGATGTTCTCCCTGAAGGGCAAACTGAACTTTTGACAACTTTAACAGTTTTCTTCTGATCCTGTGCCATTGTTCTGAAATATCTTTGTATCTTCTGAATCTTTTTTTTTGTGTTTTACTGCAATGACAAGCACACCTCCTTCAGTGTTTGGTGCATGTACTTTCTCAGTGACCTCAGCCTGTGTGGATTTGACTGAGACTTCATTTCGAACTCAGGGAGAACTTTAGTGACATAGTTTTTTCTATAGGATGTTTAGATGTTTAACTTATTTACTCTCCAGGGGATTCCTGAAGACTCAGGGCTTTGACTGCCAAATGAGCCAATGTGTTATCAATTAATGGCATCCTTATATGACTTGTAGGGACCACTCTTAACACCTTTACCGTAGCTTTTAGCCTAATGTGCATTGCATTTCTTTGTAGTGTTCACTTTCTGCTTTTATATATCCTGTGAATAACTGATCACTGAACAATGTGATATTTAGCATCAACATGCAGAAACGTTTATTCCCCGACATGAACCACTAACTGCAGAGGAAAGCAGCAGGTGTCTTTTTAGCTGAGTTATTTGGAAAGGGTGAAATTGCGTTTATGTTGCCTAAACATGCACACCGCCTACTCCATGACAACCAAATGGTTTTAGCCATGAGGTAACTTGCTAAACGGCTAGAGCAGCGTAGCTTTCACTCTCCTTTGACAACAATGAAAACTTTTAAAATTTGGGGAAATAATTTAGGTGGATGAACAGTTTCGATGATATAGGTTGCTAACATAAAGCCCAAATGTGTTTGTTCCTTTCCAACCCAATGAAATCCAACCGACTATAGCCAGCATACTGATTTATACTTCCGCATTGAATCTACGTAGCAGATACTTAGGGTTAGCATAGCCCTGATACCTATGCAGAAGCCGACATAGCCTAACAGTCACCAGGGCCCGTGATTGGTCCACTGGGAAGCATTGTATTTCCAGCATTTACAACATTTACAACATTTCTGGTATTGCTGCCATATTTAAAATTCTGCAGAAGGAAAAACAATTGAATACTTTTTATCAGCTCCAAATCCAACATTATACACTATGTTTTATTTCTCCGTAGACAAACAAGCGGAGAATGCAGCTGATTGAGAAACTGGTGGATAACTAGCATAGAAAATCAAACCGCAACTGGTGTTTTTAGGCAGAGTATTGCGGCGCTATTCAGACACATCAATGCACAAGTAAAGTGCTCATGACGGAGTTGGCAACTTTGTCGAAGGCCACTACGACGTAGCTGTAGCATAGATTATACGCAGAAGTATAAACCAGGATCTAAGCTTCAGAATTTTTTTAAATTTCAGGCTTTGGGGTCAGGGTAGGGTTATGGTTAGGGTTAGGCTACCCTAACCCTAACCCTTTTTATGTAGACTAAACATGTAGTCCCCTAGCCTATACATGATGAGAACCTTTAGCAACAGAGCTAGTTAGCTAGCTAACTGAGAACAGTGTGCGTTTAGTTTTCTGCCTTTGTAGTGTCTGTTTATTCAAGGACATTTTCTAATACACTTTTTATTTACTCCACTTGGAAATGGTCCAGATGTAAATCTTGGGGCTTAATATGACCATGCTGGCTCTGTTAAAATTGCAAAAAGCCCTTTTACAACATATTTTAGTCACACAACAGAAATGTAAAAGATTAATGTTATGGAGGAGTTGCATGCTGTCGTGACTTTCTGACAAATGCAGCGAATGTATGAAACTTTCAGAAGATGCTAGACAGACCAGGTAAGTTAAGAAATCAAAAACATGCACCAGGTTGCACCAGCGATGCCTAAATACAAACGTAGCCTAGATTAAACACTAGTTCCAACATACGACGTAGTTTACGCTCTACTTACATTTGATGAGTTGCATCAGCTGAGATAGTTGCAATGGAGGCATTAATTATAACTTAAATCTTACACTTGGCTCCTAGTAGATGTAAATTTATCTGTAAATTCTGTTGTCATGGTTTATTGTTTGAAAAGGTGGGTCAACTAGGAGGACAAGGATAAGCAGAGGGATTACGTTCTCTGGAATATAACATCCCTTAGAAATGTATCATGACTTTGTAACCTCACTGTTGTTTCCCATGTCACTGTTATTTTACACTAGCTGTAGATTTAGATTGAAGCAGTTGTTATCAGCTAATAATTACACTTTGTGTTATTTTATTTAGATGTTCTGTTGCTGTTTGTCTTTTAACAGCAGTTAGTCTGTTCTGAGACAATTGAGGCAGAACTGTAATGAACACTGCATTCAAAAAACGCTTTTCACTGATTGGCTGCAGTATACATGAAAACATCTGCAACAACATTTTTGTTAGTTTGGACATTATGCTCTACTAGTTAAGATGAACCTTATATCGCTGTTGTGCAACCAAACAATGATAAAACTTAAGTTAGAATCTAACTAGCAAAGCAATCATGGAACTATGTTTTAAAAGTCACCATGATGTTATTTTTTATTGTATATATATTTCAGTGTTTTTTTTCCACATGTATAAAATAATTATGATGTGTCTGCATGTTAGTAAGTAGAGGAATAGATGAGCTGTTTTGAGTTAAAGGTGACTAGAGTGTGAGCCAAATGATTGCACAGCCCAGAGAATGTTTAAAAGGATTGGCATTGATCATCATTAAGGATCATTAAGCCATTATTATGTGCTTGAGTTGACCGTAATGCTCACCGTGCTACAGCACAATGAGGTCTAATCTACCATGTATAACAGTCTAATTTAGCTCAGTCCCAGTGGTTTGTCTCGTGTCTTGTAGTTCGTATTGCTTCTTACGTGTGAACAAGACAGAACCGGTCTTGTCAAAAATCTATACAAGTCTACCTCAGGTGTGATGTTGGACAGCTTGAAAACAGCCCGTCCTGTATGTGTTGTTTCATGACTTATTCGTTCAAATATTGATTATTGCTTTTTTAAATATCACCTTTTAATGTGCTGAGTGCTACCTCACAGAATGTCTTCTATCTTTATGCCTGTTGTTGCTGCTCATTTAACAAGACATCCTGTCGACCAAAGAGATGCCTTTTTTTTCCCCTTGGCCTTGTTTTCTGGAATAAGAGAGTGACAAAGGAGCGGAAAAATAAGGCGTTCATTTGCGTTCTTTAAACAGTAACTATAGCTTTACCTACCAGAGCAGACATACCCAACATATTAGTCTGCACACTTTCACCACAAACGTGGAGACAGTGAATGTATGTATTAAGCATGTTCATGTTGACATTGCCATTACTCAGGGTTGTACTGAATAAACTGTTACTGTTTTCAAACCTGTGATTAAGTCTTTAAATATTGATCTTTACTTTGCTTGACTCTTATCCTGCTACTGAGGTAATTTGTGCAGCAATACAACGGGAAATAAAAGATTTAACATGGAGAAGTCTGTGTTTCATTGACCTGGTTTCTTGTATTGAACTCTACTGTAAAATATTTCCCTATGAGTGGATACCAAATTTACATCATCGCTAGCTATAACACATTAAAAAGGACCCTGTATAAACCAGCTCTCTCAGAACGCTCCATTATGGTGTGTGTGTCTCTTTAAATGCAATGAGCCCCCCCCCCCCTCACCCTGCCCCTCTCTTTCGCATGCAGGGTGTGCAGACGAGTTCAGCTTTGAGCTTCCATGGCAACTCGTCGTTGTGCCCCCTGGGATAAACATTGCCGCTGGAGACAACACAGGAGGGGAGGGGATTTTTTTTTTTTTACCAGAATCCCACTGTGACATCACTAGGACAGCAAATTTGAAAAGGAGCATTTTGTCTGTGTTGTAAGACTTATGCAGACCACAAACAAAGGACTGGATGGGTTTATTTCACATTTTGTGGGTCGGTAGACACTCAGGTTACCCAGATATATGTTCAAAAAACACTGTAAAAGTGGATTTTCCATAATATGTCCCCTTTAATGTATGCATTCATGTATGCATTTATGCACATTACTGAGAGACTGATAACAGTGTAAGTACACACTGCAGTTATATTCCACATAATAACTCTAAACACTCAATGCTAAACAAACCCTTCACAGACTAAGTCAAACCAATGAGACAAATTTGTCTTCCAGAGAGACATTCTCATTAGAGGAGCTGGGAATCAAACTGCAGCCTTCTGACATTTGGATAATCCACTCTTTCCCCTGAACCGCAGCTTCGCCACTGGAATGACAGGACAACCCACTTATGGGTCTCGACCGACCAGCTAAGAGCCACTGAATTAATTTATTTTTCTTCTCTCTTAACTTTAATATTGCTCTTCTACCTTTGGACTTGTCCTTTTTTTTTTAGAGCTGACTCTAGGAGCAATGCACACAAATTGCATCGTACCTCCTATTCCTGTGGAAATGACAATAAACTGATCTAATAATAGCTTTAAAGTTTATGCAATACTGACCCAACAGGTTCCTTTTTTTCCTCCACGATGCAACACTCTGCAATATCTCAACAGTGAAATACTCAGGTATTAACATTCACATTTCCTATTCATACTTGTAGAGCCCATGTTTCCCATCATTATTGTTGTTCTTGTTATTTTGCGTTGTCTATATTCGTGCTATATTGTGTCCCTCTGTGTTTGCTTTTTTTTTTTAAAGATTTGGTTGCTTTGCTTCGCTTTAAGATAAAGATAAGATATACTTTATTCATCCCAACAGGGAAATGTAGGTGTTCCAGCAGCCAGCATACATACAAACACACAACACAACACATATATACGTACATATCCCACCCATACAAAAAAAAAAAAACCATGAGCCCACAATACAGTTTGATATATGATATATGCAACTCAGGCTAAAGTTTAAAAGTTGAAATGTCTTCTGTCCTTACTTAAAGGGGAGTCGTTATAAAGTTATAAAGTGCAATTGCAGCAGGTAAGAAGTGGAGCAAATTTTAACCTTCATCACATTTTTAGCTAATTTTAACCTTCATCACATCCCCCCCCCCCCACGGTCAATAAAGTTTGACTGTTTCCAACAATCTTGATGACAGTGACTTCTCTTATGAAACGAAGAGCTTTACTTTGAAACGCACAAGCCGGAAGTCGTCTCATCGTGAGCGGTCGTCCCACCTCTGCGCCGCACCGCGCCGCACCGCACAGCACAGCAAGCTGCACGCGCTCACTCACGGCACAGTGTTTGATAAAAAAAAAAAAAACCTCCTCGTTCTGACTTGCGCGAGAGGAGCAGCAGAACGCGTGCGGCGGTAATGGCTGCCAGGGAGAGTGAGGAAGAAGACAACAAATGAGACCCCAGAGAGACGACCCGAAGGTGAGACTGACACCATGACAACTTACAGCTCAGCTCAGCAAGCCTTTTCTACATGTAGACTATTGTCTGCCTGCTGAGGCTACTTACCTACTTGTCTCGCAGGTGTGTGTGTGTGCTGTTGGGAATGAGGCTATTTGGATGCCACACACACTTACACACACACATACATACGGGACAATAAACTGTCAATACCCTGTGCTTAACATGCACGCCTCCTCTTTGCCCCCCCTCCCCCCTCCCTCCCTGCGGCGATGGGACAGTTTCAGTGGACTTGTTTCGGTTTATGATTGATTTATAAAAAGCTAAAGACGGAGACGTGCATGCGGTTTTGTGCTGTGAGGAGCTGCACTCTTTGTTAGCTGGTGTTAACGTGATTAGCTCACGTTAGCTGGCGCTGTCCAAGGCCACATAGCTGTTAGCCTGTTAGCCAATCAGACTGCTGGATCCCTAATTAGCCTGTTAGCATTGCTGGCTATCTGCATCTCTTGTCAGCTCCCCCTCCCCTCCACCCCTTTCCGACTTTGTGGAGATACATTATTTATCATCTCCTCTGCCTTCTTTTCTGACCTTTCTGCCTCCTTCACATTTCTTTTTAAGTTTTATAATCTGTCTATGTAAAGGTTGTTTACACACACAGGTGACAGTGTTTTGACACCTGTCAATTTATGGTTGGTTTACACCTTTAAGATAATATGTTCTGTTTAAAGGTAATAGTTTTGTTGTTGAAATAATGGGACTTGCTAAATGTTTTTTTTTTCTAAATAATTACATGAGTCATATTACAAATGTGTTATTTAATTGGTCATTATTTATGTTTTTGTTGTCGTTAAGCTCATTTGAATGTTAAATATAAACCTAATTACACTTTGTTTGCCTGGTGTTAAAACCATTAATCGTCATTGGAAGTGAAGCTGGAACAGTAAAAACAAGTTATTTATTTTCAATATTTTATTTGTAGTTTTTATCTTTTTGTTCATAATACAAATAATACAAGGACATACAGGAACTCAAACTAACAAACCCGGCTCAGACATGTACACAAAAACAAGTGAAAAGTAAACAGAAATTTCTTGCATAGCTGCCAGTCACTCAGTAAAACCCAAATAGGCTGTGTATCAAGCCTATAAGAAGAGGTCTGTGGTGGTAACAAGGTGAGCTTTCAACCCACATCAGCTTTGTCCAAATGGGCAAGAAATGGGTCCCAGATTGCCAAGAATTTCTTTATCGAACTTGTCAGAATGAGTCTCTTAGCGATAATCATCCCCAGTGCTCGGGAGCGTTGCAGGCGTGAGGGAAGACTTTCAGTTAACTGTGAGCAGCCAAAGATTGCAATCTGGATGAAAGAGTTTGTTGCAGGCTAAAAACAAGTTATTTAACAGAAAATGATTTGTTGACAAGTTTATTGTCAAGACTATATCTCACAAGTATTTGTTCCTATCTGCTAAATATGGGATTTTTTTGTTACTATTATCCATGGTTTACCATCAAAAACTCAATAACTGCATTTGAATTTGGGACCAGTAAATCACTTCATTAGTCAGTTACTGCATGATGGCAATTTTTTTGTCTAAACTCAACAGATTTTCTATGCAAATAATCAGTAAATATCAGTCTGATGAAGTGATGCTCAGAAATGATTTATTTGTTTTTCTTGCATGGTTAAATCTAATTTTCCAATTTGTTTGAACACCATTAGCCCCATTATGAAATCCTTTTAATGAAAGACCCAGTTGTTGTAGTGCTGGCCCTGTTTTCTGGTGTTGCAGGTATATCAGGTTTATGTAACTCCATAAAAAGGATACGAGAGACATTTCATTTGGTGTCTTCTGGTGAAGTCTAGCCGAGGAGTCAGGTATAGCTGCAGCCTGGCGACCTCTCGTCTCATGCCGTTATAATAAATAGTAAGGGGAACAAGAAGAGATGCTGTTGTGTGTATATATCGAAAAAAAATGTTTGCATAAAACAACAATAACACAGTTTAACATAAATACAAGATCATGTACCCTTTGGCCTCTGCTTTTCAGTCAAGAGGGCAGTGTTTGTGAGCAGCATAATCTGTTTGGTTCAGTTACACCCATGAGAAAAAATCATGGCGATTATATCTGGGGTTTGTTTGGGAGTTTGATAACCGGCCAGGGGAATTTTACGGAAACATGTGTTTCTCAGACATAATGTGTAAATGATGTCGTGGTTGGGAAATATGGCAGTAAATGGTGAATAAAGTGAGCTTTCTAGGGGGATCTCCAATCAGGGCTGCAGATTGGGAACAAATGGGAAACATTCTTTGAGAGTCTGCAAAACAACATTTTCATGTGGTGGCATTTTTGTGAGATTAGCTAATCTATCAACCATCTAACCTAGTTTAAAAAAATGAAGCTGTCTAACGGCTTATTTTAACAAGATGAGAGATTATAGAGGCTGAAATTAGCTTTGCCAAAAATTCTTTGCATAGAAGGGATGTTAACAGTTTGGAGGAGTTTGTTTTCCTCACAGTTTTACGTGTTTTCAAACACAGGGTCGCTGTGACAATAGCCTCTGTACAGGGGGCGCACAACATACCCGCTAGGCTCCCGGCACCCCTAGGTTATCCAAACGTTAATGTAGACTTGTTACAGCACCATTTTTGACACTTTATGTGAGCTGTCTGATTGACATCACTGCCTTTGTTATCATTAAACACACTGTTGGGTTCCCATCCTTGCTTAATTTTTCTAATGTTGTTTGAGACTACTAATTCCTTCACTGAGAGAAATGGTCATTATAATATTGTGAATAATAAAACCAGACATTAGTAACTCTACTAAGGTCAGGATCAGAAAGGTCTCAGAAATGACACTGTTTCATTTGGGAGGTTATCATTTAGGCAAGTTTTTATGCTCATTTGGACCTGAAGGAAAAACAATGGACAAGGAAAAGCTAATAAATTAGCTTTCAAGTACCAACCCCCCTGACTCCCTCCTGTGTGAAGCATTTGGGGGGAATTCCTCCCCATTACGAAAAAAATGAATTTCAGGCCCTGATGCACTGGGGCACCAAAATATCGCTCAAAGGGGGAGAATGAAACGGTCGTCAAGTTCAATTATCCTTACAACGTAGCAGAGGAGGAATGCCCATTCACAAAATTTAAATCCCAAACAATGAAGGAGCAAAGGTCGAATGTGGCCAGTTTATAGCTGCCTCCTGCCGCACCTTTAGTTTACAAGTTTGATATCAAGTGGAGATGAGTCTGTCGGCGCTTTCCTCTGCATTGAAAACAAGACAACTGATTATCATCGAAGGTCACTGATTAATACCGTGCTTATTTAAGCAAGCAAGTCAATTAAAAAAATAAATACATGCTCATCTAGGAAAGAAGTGAACAAATCAAATCATAAGCTAGTGCAACTCACTGAGAAGGTTGGTAGCACCAGTGTCTCTAAGTTTGAAGCCTGGCAAGAAGATTACCAGGCCAAAGAAAAGCAGCAAATTTCAAACCATATCCGTTATAATGTTGTCGAAAATGTGCAATACTTTTCCCCCTAAGATTTACTTTTGGCCGATGTCTTCTGATAGGACAGTGGATAGTGTCGGAAATAAAGGAGAGAGAGAGAGAGAAACGACATGCGGGAAAGGAGCAACAGGTTGGACCTGAACTTGGGCCGCCTGCCCTAAGGACTAAAGCCCCCGCACATGGGCACACCCACCAACCACCAGACCACTGGCGCCCAAAATGATTCTATACTTTGACACTTTTCGATTCCACATGTTTGAGGACGAAAAACCCTCTGATGTTTAAATGACGGTAATGATGCAGAGCTTCTGCAAGCGAAAGAGAGAGAGAGAGAGAGAGCGAGCACTGCATGTCTAAACTGCACAACTAATTAGCATAGCTTCTCTACTGAAGGTTTGCCAATGTGCTGATAAGACAGTGGGAAGGAGTTTGCCTGACTTTTGTTGTAACTAAGATTTGAAATCAATAGAAAAATAACCCACTGGCTCTCTGTCCACAGTGAGGACTAGGATGGTAAGCAGCCAGCCGAAGTACGAGCTGATCCAGGAGGTGGGCCGCGGCAGTTACGGCGTGGTCTATGAGGCGGTGGTGAAGCGCACAGGGGCCCGGGTGGCGGTGAAGAAGATCCGCTGCCACTCTCCAGAGAATGTGGAGCTGGCCCTGCGGGAGTTCTGGGCCCTCAGCAGCATACAAAGCCAGCACCCAAACGTCATCCACCTGGAGGAGTGTATCCTGCAGCGGGACCAGCTAGCACAGAGGATGAACCACGGCTCCAGCTCCCCGCTCTACCTGGAGGTGAGGATGCAGAGTTCAGTGTAATGGGGTGTGGGGACAGGGGAGGTCTGCTGCAGTTTAACAGTAATCTGGATTTGGCTCTGTCCAATGTCTTGAATTTGTACAGCCGAACCAATTTTAAACACTCTGTGTCAGAATTGCATATTGCTCCTTTAATGGGACACTGCATGGAGTACTAAACATTTCTGTTTCAAAGTATACGACTGCATAGGATGATCATTAATGATGACCTCGGTATTTTTGAAACGATCATCAAAAAGTATCCAAGTTAAAATTTTGACAAGCTTCACCTCTACCTTTTGAATTACACAATGTCGGGTTTCTGTTACTTTATATTTTGTTGCAGTGGTATAGAAACAGGTGTTGTTGATTTATATCATATCAAAGTTTAAAATCCTGGTGTCGTAACAACCCTGCTCTAAAGATTGACATTTTGGCGGTGCAGAATATCATCATAAAGTTGTTGGTAAAGCCTGGTTTGTCTTCCTTTGTGTGAGCTGCTGTTGTGAATTAGCAGAAGAGCTGGATGTTTCTGGATGGTTCTGCGGCCCCACAGTCACATGAACGTGTTGTCAGGTTGAGGTAGGGGGCCTCCCCTCCCCTCCCCAGTCAACCTGTCTGCTGCCTGTCATGTCGCAGTACCTCCCCGCTGTCTGACGGCAGGGACACAGGCGCTCTGCTGGTGCCTGATTATAGTCTCTCAGCGGCACGCTGGGCTATTGTCACACCGTTCATTCAGCTTTCTGCAGCGCTAGCATTGGATACTTTCCCAGAATCCCTTTTATTCCAGCTCTTTTTTTATTGCGCTGTAATGTTCCAGTACGTGCCTTCAGAAGAACACATGATAATGGGGCAGAATTATCTGACCGCACCAACTGTGGGATAATTTGCATCCATTCTCTTTGGGCGGTGGATTCTTCGGCTGCCGGCTTGTCAAACAATTTGCAGCCATTTGTTTACAGCGGGGCTTCCACTAGGATTTGCCTACAAAACATATTCAGAGCACATGTGTTGTCTGTAAAGCAGTTTACATTGTTAGCTTCCATGCAGGGTTTCATCTGCTGACAAAATTACTTTCATCTTGCATTTCTCTGACTTATAATTTTAACTGCTTCTGCCATTTTTTTTCTTTGTTATAGAAGGGTTCTCACTAAAATGAACAATGCAAACCCTCAGACTTACTCTGACTGACTGATCTCATTAGTAACATCAAAATCTTTTCCTCTGCCTTCATCACAGACTTACTAACTTATATACTACTATAAGTGATTACAGACCTTTTTTTTTAAATTACCTCCAGCTCTTGCTTTTTAAACAGACGATAGACTGTAGAAAAGATGGACGTAGTCTCTGTAGCCTTATTCACTCTGCCTGTTTTAGGCAGTATATGTACTCCCCTGTGACGTCTCACCTTCACTATGAATGTCACAAAGGAGTAAAGGGGGACGAAGTGATGTCAGCTCTGTGCCGCCGTTAGAGATAGTAAAAGAGGCGTTGCAGGGGCGAGACCGGATCTGCATGGCCAGCCAAAACAGCGCTCTATGTGTGCATTTGGATCTCCCGCTGTTTCTCTAAATGTCCTGCTTCCATAAAGCCATAATGCAATGTGAATTCAGACTGGGTCACCAATAATACGCTGTTGCGGAATTATATCAGAATGTACAAAAGACATGATGGCGGCAGAGCTTCTTTGTGGAATCACACTCTGAAAAAGGCGAGTGAAGTCACCCATTAGTTGCTGAAGAGAATTCTTGAAGCGATGGCAGTCACCCTTTTGGATGTTATCTTTACCTTACCTTTGATCGTCTGATAACAGACAAAGAGGTGAAAGCCAAGGCAGCTCCTGGCAAACAGCTTCAAACGCCCCCACCTGGTAGCCAAACCAGACACGCACGCCCCTGATTATGCAAAATGTATGCAAACACTCTTATATCCAATAAAAACTAAAAATGGTGAGCCTTAAAAAAAATGTATGTCCTGTACACAAACAAGAAGCTATAGGAATAGCCTTTGATACCAAACCTGTTTTTTTTTTTTTTTAAACTACTGTTAACATGTAAAAATTGGATTTAAACATGAGACCTGATGGAAATTGCTTGGTGTTTGCATTTAGCCTCAAGTGGACACCTGAGGAACTGCATTTTTTTGCTCTTCAGGTTGACTTAAAGGAGGATGCCTTCAGCTCGTTAATTTCCACTAATATTTTTCTACTTTTAGTGATTATACATCACCTGTTTTCAATTCCCTTCATCTCTTATCATAAGACTTAATAGATCTCTTTAGGTGTGTTCAGACTAGAGTTCAGAAATGTCAATACTTCATTACTTTCTTGATGCCACGTAGGAAGAATACTTAAAGTACTTTCACCCCCCCCAGCTTTTAACTTTTATTTTTATTTATTATTTTATTTACTTTTAATTTATTTTAACTACAAATCTTTTAATATTTTAGCTGTTTCATTTTTAAAATTTTTAGGCTGCAAGAAAAATGAAATTACTCTGAAGTGACTTCTCTTCGACATTATTCTTTATTAACCTGTAACCTGTTGCTTTTCTATATTACATGTAAAACATCATCTATCAAACTCTGGGGATACATCCCAAATGAATTTCAATTTAACACGAGAAGGATGACGCTTGCAGGTTTGTGGTCTGCTGTCAAAAAGAGATGAAATGAACTGACTTCCTGCAGCAGACATTAAAGATGAGAGGCCTCTCACTTGGCTCTGATTTAAAAAAAAAAAAGGCCTTAAAGAAAGATAGCTGACGACGTGATGAATACAAAGCCAGAGCAACCGGGCTCGTTAGGTTCTGAGTGACATTTTCTTCTCCCTACAATGCAGAGCTGTTTCTCATTGTGCCAGTAATGATAAAAACTAGACCAGACATAAGAGATATACTACTTAATCTGTAGAGTTATTACATTAGCTTTTACCCTCGGTTTATACAGATGTTCATCAGTTTGTTCAGTGGCCTCCTTTTAGCTGTGGACAGTATTTTCTGTTAAACACTGTGACGGCTGTAAAGAAGTTGGCTAAATTATTTATTTTATAATTGATTCAGTCCCACAATTCCACAAGTAGCCGTGGTTGTAGCTCTGGTGGCTGTACTGCCATACTGCTCTACTACCTGGATGTAAATCAGCACAGTGGACGGATGGTATCTTGTAGCGTGTAGCTATTTGGCAACTGATTTTGAACATCACTAGTATCGTTTTGACTTAGCTTTTCTTCTTCTGTGTTTCTACTGCAGCTGGTCGAGACGTCTCTGAAGGGAGAGATCACATTCGACCCCTGCTGTGCCTACTACCTGTGGTTCGTCACCGATTTCTGTGACGGAGGCGACATGAACGCCTACCTGCTGTCCCGCAAACCCAGCCGCAAGATCAACACCAGCTTCATGCTGCAGCTGGGCAGCGCCCTGGCCTTCCTGCACCGCAACCAGATCATACACCGCGACCTCAAACCGGACAACATCCTCATCTCCCAGGCCTGCTCGCCGGCCGGCTCCTGCGAGCCCACCCTCAAAGTGGCCGACTTTGGCCTGAGTAAGGTGTGCTCCACCTCCGGGCTCAACCCAGAGGAGCCGGCAAGTGTCAACAAGTGCTTCCTGTCCACGGCCTGCGGAACAGACTTCTACATGGCCCCGGAGGTCTGGGAGGGACACTACACCGCCAAGGCAGATATCTTTGCTCTGGGAGTGATCATCTGGGCCATGGTGGAGCGAATCACCTTTGTGGACGTGGAGACTCAGAAGGAGCTGCTGGGGAGCTACGTGCAGCAGGGTTCAGAGATTGTTCCTCTTGGGGAGGCCCTGCTAGAGAACCCAAAGATGGAGCTGCTGATCCCCGCGAGGAAAAAGAGCATGAACAGCCACATGAAGCAGCTGATCAGGGAGATGCTGTCGGCCAACCCTCAGGAACGGCCCGACGCCTTCGAACTGGAGCTCAGACTGGTCCGTATCGCCTGCAGAGAGCTGGACTGGGACACGTGATGAACCAGCAAACGGCCCCACAGACTGAGCTGATCAAGCACATGTACACATCTCATCGGTTAATGTTAATCTAGAAGATCACATTTTGGGAATATTGTTTTTTTTGTTTTACTAGGGAACAATAATTAGAATAGCAGTTGTTTGTCTTTTCTTAAAGGGGAATTCTGTTTTTCAACTGTTGCCTGATATTTGATTATTTTGGGGTCTAAAACAGTTTTTACACATGCACTCCAGAAAATATTCTGCCACTGAAATCTCCCTGAATTGCTAATGCACACATACTTTGTAGTATAAAGTTTCAGGAAGGGATGAGGGCCTCAAGACGTATAAAAAAGACGCTGTGGAAGTCTTAAGATGACAGATAAAGCAACAGCGTCGGACACTATAATGGCCGAGTGGAAAAGAATATACTGGCGAGCAGTGAAGAGTGTGAAGCAGCTTCATGATATGCATGATGATCATGCATGCTAGAAGGCACCGTGAATGATGTAGACGTCATCACCCAGCTGCACGCTTGTGGTGAATTATACTGAATGTTTTTTTGCTGCATTTGCAATTAGGCTCACCCTTGCGCAATGTGGAAATAGTCGGGTAAAGAATTCCACTGCGTTCACCCAGATTATCAGGAGTTTAGTGCATGTGTGAAAACACTATAAAGGACTGATAGATACTCAGAGTTTTGGAATATCTCCCTTTTACTGGAGCAATTCCAAAATGTTTTGTACCCATCCTCATTCAGACCCTGAAGTATTTAGAAACATTTGGCCCAGGTGTAAGAATACCAGAATTCCCCTTTAAACTGCACCCACTGTTCAAGCACATCCAGTCCTCTACAAGCTGTGTCTTTATATTGAAGGGGAGAGGTGTGAAACTCACTGCTGCTGCGCCAAAGTGCAGCTTAGTCTCAGGCTAATCACATCACAGCTTCCACTTCCTCCTTACAGAAGCACTCGAGCGTGATGGAATGAGCAAAATGACCCCCAAAAGTCCTGGATTCAATTAAAAGTGAAAGTCAAACAGTTTGTCTACAAATACCACTGTGGACTTGGTGCTAATTATTCTAACTAAATGCAATATGAGACATAATCCTGTGATCATTACAGCTTATATATATCCAAAGGGCCCATATTAGAACACAATCACCTCCTAAGTGTTGAATGTTTTGAAGTTTTCCGTGGCTTTAACAGAAAAGCTGACTTCCAAACTTTACTCTGGTACCGGACCACCAGCACTGACATCAAGATTTGATTCTGTTTAAGCATCAAATGCTGAAATGCCCAGCACACTCAGGTAGTTAAATCACACAATATGACGGGTATTTGTAGACAAACTCCATACAGTCAAGGTCAGTTTTTCAGTCACAGAAAGGGGGAACATCTCCAAACTTTGGTGCTTGAAGATAACATTGTGTGTATTTCTTAAAGCTGCTTCGTTGGTAGTTTTGGGTAGGGGACGTTTTATCAGTAAGTGTCCTCCCAGCAGGTGCTTGTGGTTGGTGTTTCTCTCTTGTCTGCTCATCTCAGACTTACAGATAAGACGATCGGTCTCAGACACACCAATAACCAGGGTACAAGAATGTAAAGCGACCAAGACGGGTCATTTATAAAGCCTTAAAGACCAAACACTAGATTTTTAATTCACTTCAAACAGTTGATCAAAAAGTCCACAGGATCATTCTGGTTTACGGCACTGGGTGGTTTCTTTGTATTTGGTTGTTATTCGGTCAGTAACTTGTGATCACAAAATGTATTTAACATTTCAGTTCCGCTTGAGCGGTCTACGAAGGCCGGGTTGTTTTTTTTCTGCTGGGTCATTCGAAGGATGCTAGCCCTGAATTGGGACAAAGCAGATCTCTGATGATGCTATATCTGAAATTCACTTGCATGGTTTTTACAGACAGCTGGAAATAAACCAGAATTATCCTCAAATTAGGAAATCCAAAACACAAAAGACGCTGCCATAAAGCAGTTCTGCCCATATTTAGACGACTTGTTGAAGTGACTTCTCCAAACACATAATAAAACAAAACTATTGCTTAGCCTAAATCCCCCGTTTTGCCTAAACCTAGATTTAATTACCTGAAGGGTGAGCTGTGACATGAATATTCACCTCCGAGTCCATTTGAAGAGCAACACTGAAACTCCCTGAAAGCACTTTGATTTCCTTGTTTTTTTTATTTATTCCTGATAACTACCTGCTGCGTCGTATCGAGCCGCTCTGCGAGGCTGGATTCAGTGCGATAACTGCGTCTGCATTTGTTTACCAGGCGAACACAATGTCAGCCAACAGTCTACTTATGCATGCAGTGCCTCTCACCTTCAGGGAGGAAGTGAGAGATGGCACCAGTGCACTCGACACACAATCCTCCGTGAGCCAGAGGATCTCTGCTTTCTTTTCTTTTTTCTTTTCTGAAACATAATACTGTTGTGTTTAACTTGATCTCCTCTCACTGTGTCACTGCTGCTCGTTTCCTTTGGCTCTGGATCTTACAGTAATCCCTTTCTTCATGCTTCCGACAGGCTAATTCTAAGCCTATTAAGTCGTTGCAGAGCTTGGCGGAGGATCATGTGTGCAGGACCCTTTTTGCCTTTCAGGTCGTACACACATTAAGTTGTGCAGTTTAACCTACACCTATACAAACCAAACAACCCTGGCTATTCCATTGCCTTCAAACTGTGGCAGAAAATTACGCTTCTGTTTGACTTGTTGCCAATAATATGAATCTGCTCGATGGCCTTTAATTCTCACGGCTTACTTGTTTTATTTGCTGTTCTGATGAGATTGATATCTGCCTTATCTCTCAAAGTCCCTGCTTCCTTTTAGACACTAGAGTGGCCTCCGTGATGTCGCACCCAAACACACAATTGGCCACAAAGTTGTGCTTGAGATGCCTCACATTTAACCCTCTCTTTGGTGTGAATATTAATACCATAGATCAGTTTTAAAATCTGTGCCGCAGGAAGTCAATGCTGCTTTTGGACAATGTTGCTTCGCTTGAAGAATGTGGTATTTGTGGTTCACAATCGAGCATGAAGTTTGGTCTCAAAGTAGGTCACCCATATCCTGAGAGCTCGAATCAGAGCAGAGGATGATGGGTAGAGTCATTTCTAGCCAGTTTTCTTCCCTCAACCCCCAAGAAAAGAGAGGGTATAGGGATGAAAGACAAACGGCTTTCTTATGAGGTGTGAAACATTTGCCAAACAAATACTAGGTGTGGGGTTTGAAAGAGATTTCACCCTTTGATTTGTTGTATTATTCCTTTGCACATGTGTAAATACTGTACAGGATCAACATGACGAACAAGGTTGATGTACATTTTGACTGGGTGTGCTCTGTTTTTAGGAGCCTGACTTGATTGACATGTAAATTGCTGTGATGATTCTTTCTTTGTTTTCTTCTTCTGATTGAGCTTCAGTTTACTTTGGTTATGGAAAAGATGTGGTATATTTACAGGTCAATACTGTTGGTGTGATAGTGATAATTGTATGTTTTCATCGGCCTATTGTTGGTGATTTTGTGTAAAGCAAAGCTGGTAGACCATGTGGGTCAACTCCAACGGTCCTTTTCTGTCTGGTTCTGGGGTAGTTTTGGAAATGGTAAAAGTCTTTGAAACTCTCGGTCATCGATTTAAAAAAAAAAAAAACCCCAAACAAAAAAAAAAAAACCTCAGCACTTCAGTAGCCCTGATCCAGGACCCCCATGCAATGTCCACCAATACTGCTATCTCCAGGAACTCAGTTTAGCCAGAAAGTGAAACAATATGAGATTTCTGAGGCCGATAAAGATTGTAACTCTGGTTACTCAGATCACTGGTAATGGTGGTCTATAAAGTGCATTTTGAACTTTAATAAAAAGACACCCTTTCCATGTGGACTGCTTATCTATGATGCTCTGAAAGGATTGTCAAAATGCACTCAGAAAGTTGCTTCCAGGACAAATAACTTAGAGCCGACCTGAGTATACAGGCGTTCATTTCAGGCCGACATGGGCCTATAGTCGATAGTCCGCTATTGGATGGCACAATTTTTGATAAGAGTAAGAATGTAAACTTTTAAGAGCACGCTTTGAGACTGCAGTTTGCACTCCTCCCAACATTCAGCACGTTTACATGCACACTTGCGTCGATTGGGATATTTACCTGGACAACTGTCCTTGTCCCAGTACTAGTAAGGGGGGGGTGGATTTACTGACAGAGGTATGTCTGACGTCGCGGTCGCTATGGTACTTAGAGATACACCCCCTTTCAGCAATTATTGGACCTTCTGATCGACCTATTACATTACACATACCAAAAACTCACCAAATTGTCTGTCGAACCATGAAAACATGGAAAACTTTACAGCTCTGTTCATTTTGTATCCTCGCTTGTCTAGAAATGTGTGTTTCTCGCTCTAGCACTCGCCGTTTTGGTTCCTTCGTCTTGTGTTTTCTTTATGGATTTCTTCTACACATTCAGGCTGTCCGACTTCCTAGTCCAAGCCTGGCACATATGGGAACTGTGGAGGATGTGCTGAACGCCTAGGACTGAGGTGTATACATGTAAGAGTAACTCAACCTCCAACCGGATTATCTAAGTGTTCTATTCCGCCTTCAACAAGTTAGACCTAATTCGATTTCTAAACAAATTTACGTACAGGTAGAAATAAAGTATCCTGAACCTTATTTCACTCAGTCAGAATAACAATAAATCCCTTTTTTTGATATTGTGATACCATACTGATCCTCTGCAGAACATGCAACAGAGCATCAAGAGCCTTGCAGATATTGATTATTAATAGAGTTGGTTAAATATATAAAAGTTGCATTCTACTAACAGCTTTCTGAGGGTCTTCACTTAGTTATATCAGTCCACAATCCCAACATTATAGGTATGATATTGGTAATTTGTTAAAGGTCCCCTCTTAAATTGGCATTGATATCAGTCTAAAAATCCCTCTTTGTTCTGATTCTCATGTAGCATTTATTTCTTGATGAAATAAGTATTGACTCCATTTTAAGCCCCCTCTGCTTTATTTAAGTACACAAAGTTCTGTTGATGCACATTGGAAAATATGCTAATTCCAATAGACGTTATAGACCACATAGACGAGCCAATATGTCATTCAGGTTCACATTTGAAGAAAAAAAATGTCACTGGTGGCAAAGAAATGCCAATGAAGACCTGATGCATGAAAACCTGGTCCTGGATGAGGGCTGCACCTGTCCTGTGTCGGATGAAGAACACTGACTCATGTCAAACGAGATCCAAACTCACAGATCTTCTGCTCTCACTCTTTTGTATGAACAATTTTTTCCCTTGTCGATGTAAAGTATTTTGAAGAGATTAAATGAAGTTTATCAGAATTGGTGTGAACACCTGTCAATCACTGTTGAACTGATGAATTTTTAAATAAAATGGATTGAAAGAAAAAGTTGAATTGCATTTCAAGTTGACCTATCATGCTCATCACCATTTCAAAACTGGCATATAGTGTTAGAATGCAGAGTGCCCAAACTAATTGTAGGCAAAGTTTCAGATCAAGAGGTAAACGTTTGTTGGAGTAATCCCAGTGTGAGTCTGCAGAGGGCGCTAAACGGCTTGTTCTGAAAATCGCACAAAGTTTTGCCGATATGAAACCAACAATTTCACGAGATGGCTAAATGCCTCTACATTGGCCGTTGAAAACTCTTACATAGGCTCTCTCTTCCATAGCGCTCCCAGAGAGCTGGCCAATCAGAAGAAAATGGGCCCATGGGGAGGGGGGTCTTAAAGGGACAGCAGCTGAAACAAACAGTTTCAGGTAGAGCTGAAATATGTTTTTTTTTTTTCTTACTGACGCCAGTATCATATAAATAAGGAGTTTGTTGAGCTGCAAATCATGCAAAGCTGCTCTGTAGGTTTCACAGAATGACAACATGAAAGGTGAAAATGAGGATATGGTCGGATCTTTAATGAAATGAAGCATGGAGTCCGCCACTACTCTTGGAGTCTTTTTCCTCCTCTGTGGACCTACACTGAACCTGCACTGCTGCACAGGTGATTGCTGTAATTCAATACACCTGCAGGCTGACAGCTACACCTGACATCTTCTCCCTCCTGCAGCTTCCAGCTTCACTGTTTATGATCTTGCTTCTCATCGTCCTAATATTCTACTTTTTGACTAAATGTGAGATGGTTAGATTTGAATACATTTTGTCATGTGGAACCGAGGTAAGTGTGCACATTTCTCAAATCAGTCCAACAAAAGAGCTTTAAACAATACCTCTGCTGTCTTTATGAGGCTTGAGTCTCTTGTTTTCACAGCCTGCAGTCAGTCCCCTGCTGGGACATGCAGCCACAAAGCAGTGATATCAAAGGTGTGTCTACCTCCTGTCGATAACACATTCTGAAATCATCTGGAGAAAATGTGTTCCTATAGACTGTAACAGATTCCTTCACTTCCATCTCTCCACAGACGGCATTTCTTCAGATTTTACCGTGCACAGTGTCTCAGCTGCTGTCTGCTTCAGAAGTCAGCAGTGACTCTTTCGCAATATGCGACTTGGAACTTAACCAGGTATGCGTTACAACACTTATTTTGTACAATTTAAAGAGGATTTAAGTCGACATGACTGGAAATGAGTTCTGCACAGAGTCTGGTTATGGAGTTTAGTCCCACCACCTGATTTTGAATCACACATCTGAGGAATAAAGACAGAGCCTCCACCTGTCCAGCAGCAACAGGAATCAGGTTGGGTAAATCTCAAACATATAGAGAGGACTCCAGGGAGGGCTGCTGTCCCAAGTGAATGTGACACCAAAGTTGGATGCACTTACAGTAGATCACTTGGTGTAAGACATGTTGTTAGCAATGCAGCAGATCGCTCCAGTGAAGCTAAAGGATGTATGGAGGAAGTAAATGCCTGGCCTAGCAGTCAAGGTAGCAGACTACCCAGATCATGCAAACCGCTGCACACGAGGGCACATGTGGCCAAATACATATTGTACAATATTACCAGGAGCATGATGGGAATTAATGTTACCAAGGAATCTAGGTTCAGTCTTGTAAATAGGGACCCTGCAAGATAAGCAGTTTTTGCTAAATCTATCGGTGTGTGACTGAAATGTCTTCAAATGTGAGAGGGTGGAGTACGTCCATTTTTTTAATACATGATCATTGTTGACATTTTTGAACAAAAAGTTCTGAATATTCAGAATTGTAAATCATTTAAAGTATGGAGCCCCTTAGGTCTCAAAAAGATCACTTTTCATTCTTGTGCACGCTAAATAATTATGTTAAGTTAAATGACAGCTTGTGTGCCCAACATGATGATTTTTACTTTTCACAACCTTAGGGGCTGTGAAGGAAAGTACACATATAAAGGCCAAAGCCTGAGTTTTTGTCCCATCATAACTTCATTGTGCATCTTCTTGCTGCAGCTGTCTGTCGTGGGCATCATTAGAGGATATGTTCCCTTTGTGACCAACGTCCAGTATTCATTGGACGACATGACCGGTCCACCTTTGAGTGTGAAGCAGTGGGTCAACTCAGAGGTAAGTACAATCCGCAGGCTTTTTAAAAAACTAAATGTGGACGTAAATTATAGTTTTTAAGATTCTGTTTCTCACAGGATGGCGCTTTGATGACTTTTGTTCCTCCTGGAACGTACGTGAAGGTTATTGGAAGTCTGCGCAACTTCAGAGTAAGTGATCACAGACAAAGGGTTTCAGAAATGATCAGCTTGACTTGGCCTGAAACCAAATGTCCAATTTCTGAAGTGGCTAGCTGAGCCCAACAGGTCCCATGGCCTTTTAAACACCATTACTTTATGATTGATTTGTAAAAAAAAAAAGTTTTAAAGATTTTTTCACCTGCATTTTTAAAACCAAAAACACCATGTCAATATTGCAATGAACTATGGGTCAATCAGTGAAGTATGCTTCCCAAGCGGCCTCTCTGGTAGTCTTCAGAGTCTTCTTTTGGCCCCTTGTGGACCCGGTGAATGCTGGGTTCTGACTGTCCTCTGCCCCCGCAGACTTCTGAAAACTCTCCACAGCCCGACCGTCTGCGAGATAAAGCAATGCTTTGACCCCCCCCCCCCCCCTTTTTTTATTTTTATTGTTGCCTTAGAGAAAGAGAACATTGTTGGCGATGGATGTGCGCTGTATCAAAGACCTGAATGAAATCACGTCACACATGCTGGAAGTGGTACAAGCGCATATGCAGCTTTTTGGAAAGGTAAAACTGTGTATGTGTGTGTGTGTCAAATGATTTATTGTATAATAAGCAGAAACTAAAGTAAAAATTGTGTTTTGCTATTTTATTACCCTGAAATCTTTAATTATTCCAATTTAAACTGCAGACTAACTTTTTGAGCAGAACTCTTTTTTTTTTACAAATTTTAAAGGTCACATTGTATGCAAAATAAACATGACAATGTTTTTCGAACACTATATGTGTTCTCAATTCTAATATGGACCTCTAAGACCCAATGAAACTTGTTGGAAGAAGTACAGTATGTGGCCTTTAAAAAATGTTTAGAACAAAGCGAGCGTGTTTCATCCTTCAGAGATAAAATGTTGCATTCAAATCGTGAAAACCCTTACGTTGTTTTTATTGTTTCTTCAGGGATTTGATGTGAATATGAATATCACTGCTGCACCGCGATCTGAAAGAGTCTTTGATTACGGAGGTGATGATGGACACCCTGAAGACGTCTTACCAAACGATCTCTCCACCATCCAGTCTCAGGTTAGTTATAGGTTTTAAAGGTTCAGTTCAACCAAATAACAGACACGGTATCCCTACACTACCAATACAAAAAAAAAACTGCATTTAGATATTTATTTCTAGAAAACTGATTTCCCATAAGTGTGTTCATTGTGAGTCTTTGCATTCTTCTAACTGTGCGCTCTCTGCAACCCGTGCTGATGTTTGGGGGCACAAAGGCTAAAACAATCAAAGTTCAAGTCAAATGTTAAAAGTAGTAGTAGTTGTCTTTGAGTCAGACTCAAACACAAAACTTTAAATATCCACCTCTGAACAGCTTTTATTGCTACAGTATCACGACTTAAAAATAAACGACCCACAGCTTGATAACCAAAATAGAAAACTTGACAACACATGTCAAGCGTTAAAGAAAAAGAGATTTCCAACACGACCTAATACAGCAACATGACAAGACACTACCACACAACTGTATTCTTCAAAACAACCAAAATCCCCAACACAACCTTGTGTGTGTGTGTGTGTGTGTGTCTGACAAAAAAATCCTAGCTCATCACATTCTGGTTGAAGAAACTGATGCCTGTTTAGTTTTAAGTGTGTGTTTAGATTCTGTGTTAGTAAACTCCGCTGATGCTGTAGAGTTTCATATTGGCCTGATTTGCTGCAGCATCCAATCAGGGACTGATATCCTATATTGGCGGGGGAGGGGGGGGCGTGTCCATCTTTAAGGCTGCTCTCATGTTTCCTCACTCATCACGCCTCAGATCTCCCTCCTCTCTCCTCAATCACCTCTTTCCCTCAGAGCAGCTTTCGGGGCTTTGGAACGATCCTTAAGATGGCAGGTCATGAACGACTGAGAAGTGAGGAGACATCACTTAGTAATAAAGTCTTCTCCTGATTGCTCTGTTAGGTGCTGCATGTCATCAGGAGTTTCTCTGTCCAACTTGAAGGCATCGGTTTCAATGACCTGGAGAGACAGCTGGAACACCTGAGTGTGTGGGACATCAGGTACCTCTTAACTTCAACATACCTCATGTGTTTTGTGTGTCTATGCATGCATTGAATAAATTATGAAAGCCTCAGTCCATACACATGTACTTGTGCGGAGGTTGGATGGTGATGGACCAGGAGCTTTATCCAAAAAAGTCTTATCTTTCCTTTCATTTCTCTCTTCTTCTTGTACAGGACTTCGTTGACATTTTTGATCAATGAAGGTCACGTCTTCTCCACCATTGATGAGCATCATTTCAAGTCGTGTGTACATTAGTGGCGACGCATCATGGCATCTACACGCTACCCATATTTTTGAAGTCGGCATAGACTGTATTGTTTTTGTTATTTATTTAAGGCTTAATATCGGTTACGCTGTAAAAAATTTTTTGTAGAGAATAAGTCAACCGATGTATTGATGTGTTTTTTTAATGTTGTAACTTTTCTGTTTCTAATTTGTTTTCTGAATACGTGGGTACACAGAAGAAAAAAAAAAGATGTCATGCTATCTGTACATAAAGTATGAAGTGCTAAGTTCATCTGGTGACCTCTTCATTTAAGGTACCACTTGGTATGAGTTATGCCAAAATTACCAGCTGTCTCTTTTTCTGGCTCTTTGTCTGTCGATAAGTAGAACAAAGGTTTTTAGTATTGAGACATCATTTGCAGCATGGCGACCGCCATTAACGGGCTTCAAAGGTCGCCTTCATTGACCAATGGGTGATGTCGCTGAG